TTTTTATGTAATTGAAATGCAAACAAGTTGACTATCCTCCCCTCATGATAAGTTGTAACTGTTTTTTAAGGATAACTAGCTGAACCCGCGGTTTCACCTGCGTTAAATTTCAGTATATAAATTTCAATATAAAATATAGTATATATGCTATTCTAATGTTACTGTAAAGTTTCATAAAAATCTGTTCAGTAGTTTTTGCGTGAAAGAGTAACAAATATCTATACAAACTTTCCCGTTTATAATATTATTAAGATAAGATAATCTAATAGTGCACCAGGATATAATTAACTAGGAATTTAACATTTCCAGGGGGAACCGCGTAGAGGTCAACCAAATAGGGTATAATGTTAGGATGGGCATTACGTATTCAAGTCCTATCAATGATACTACTCACACATTGCCAGTCTGGAGGGCTACAACGCTATTATTTAAAGTCTATCTTGCTAAATAAACTTCAAGTTTTCGTACATTAATAATTTATTTATTTAATTAATATCACATAAATGAAAGTAATTATTGATAATTATATATTTGTTGTCATCATTATAAAAGTGATGAACAAGAATACGACTAATAATACTAATTTGACAGCCTCGGTACGTAGCGGTTAGAGCACAGCGTATGACTTCCGATGGTCGCGGGTTCGATTATTTCTAGCACGTTACAAGCATTTGTATTCATGAATATGAAGAATTGTATCGTTTTAGGCGTACAGTATGTATTTACAAAAAAAATTAGGTATTTAAAATTAGGTAACCCAACATAACGGGTTCTAGACAACCGATATAAATACCTACAAGCTAAACTTAGGTTGGGACTAGATGGCGTTTTGTGAATTGTCCTGAGATATTATTATTGGAATAAAAATTTATTGACAAAATGATTTATTAGAATTGTAAAAATATTTTATAATGTGAAATCTAAAACGCAAATATTAGGTTTTTTAACAAAAATGTAAAATATATTCGACGTACAATCCAGCCAAAACGGAACAAATTTCAATTATTCTGTTCGAATCGTAATGCTTTATTCAGGTGTTGGTCGGATATAAATTTTAACAGGATTGGTAGACTGCTTTATATAGAATGAAAACTAAAACTTAAACTAGGTTTGTAACAGATATAAATTTAGATATCGCCAATACCGGATTTTTACCTATCTGTCCCGTGCACGTGTCGCAACAAAAGTGCAGCAGTACTCAGATGATGGTATACGCCCTGGAGCGGTTTTTGATAAAGGTATAAAATTCAAACGTAAAATTTAAACTTACTTACTCGTATATATTTTTTACTACAAAATATATTTTAGGCCCTTGGGCAATAGCAAAAAATTGGTCCGTGCAAATATTACGCCGGAAAAAATATTTTTAACATTTAAATGAAACTTGGGAATTGGTACCTAAGTGGTTTGGACTTTTTAGTCTGATAATGCGCTCCCATAACGGAACGGAATATCATACGACAAGGTAATTTATCGTCAAAGTTTACGGGGACGCCTACACATATATTACATAATATAATATTAATCGTTACGGCTGTTACAACATTTAAGGTAGTCAGAGGCATTGTCAACTACCGCGATAATTGCAACCTTGATATTGCCCACATATCGCTGGAAATAGAAATAGAAATATTCAAATAAACTCACTACTAGCATTTTTTAATAGTCATACATTTTTTATTCTACCATTTAATCGGAACGCAGTCTCATCACAAGTAGAACGAGAAAAAGCTGGGTATATTTGAATCGAACGTGGCAGACGTGTTTTTTACCACAAAAAAGAAAGTTAGAAATAGGTATAAATAACATGTTAAAGAAATAAAAAGTTTTAGGTATCAGCCAGATTCGAACTACATTAGTATGCCTATGTATTATACTGTTGCCTAAGCTATAACATCCATACTCACAAACTTACGCGTCTATAATATAATTAAGATAGGACATTTAGGACAGAATGTCCTGGTAGTCACTACGCTCTCACACGACTATAGATAAGCTATGAGTATGATTAATAATGCTGTCTACAAAACTGTTTCCATGTTATTGAATGTGACAAGGTACTTACTCGGTCCAGTCACAATAAAATGCTGCCAGTAGAAAAATTCGGCAACGTAACAATATTTTGTTGTAGCAAATAAATTGAATATAGCTGAATGTTGACGAAAGCTATTACGACCACTTTCACTGCACTCCGCGTTTTGCATGTTCAAACAAAACTGTACATCACAATTAGGAATTCGTTTGGACAATGTTATTTTCATTTCCGTGAATGCAACAACATGTATTATGCAATTTGCTTTGTGTATTTTTAATCTTGTAACTATAAACTGTTATATCTGGCTAATCAGAAAAGTATTTTTTATTATAAATTTGTATTTAAATTTCTAATTCTTTTTTAGTACATTCTTTTATATACTTCATGCTGTCTTATCAATACTTTCCCAATATTTCTTACCGTCAAAAGTCGGGACGATGATCGTAACCAAGATGCTATTAATTGACTGATTCCCTTTTTTATAATAAAAAATACCTATATCGGCTTTTTTTATAGTTTCCTAATATATGTATATCTCTCTATGTTTGTAATATTGAAATAATTGTTTTCACTACATGTATATGAATATAAATACGGTATATACACCAAAATATTTTTTTTACATTTTGTCAGTCTGTCTATTTGTTCCGGCTAATCTCTGAAATGACTGGACCGATTTTGACGGGACTTTTTTTGGTAGGTAGCTGATGTAATAAGGAGTAACTTAGGCTACTTTTATTTTAGAAAAATAAAGTTAAACTCCACGCGGAAGAAGTCGCGTGTACATCTAGTATAAAATAAATCAGCAGTTCAGTTCACTGTTAGCGTAAGCATATATTTTAATACTAGAGATATATATCGTGGGTTCGATTCCTTCACTATAAGCATATTTGTATTAACGAATAGATAACATCTGTTTGTTTTTCTATTCGTACTTACAAACGATACTCATGTTCGTCGGTATAGGTATCGATCAGTTGTCTAATTGCTTTAATTTAGGATTAGGCCCTGTATGAGTTGTCCAACGTCATATTATATTATTAGTTATCAGATATTTATAGCCATACTTCTGACAGCCGCGGGTTCGATTTTCGCATCATATAAATATTTTATTCTGTATTATAGAGTATGTCTGTTTATATTTGAATGGGTGTCTGTATATATATTAATTTAGGTAATTTATATCCATCAGTTTTTAAGTTCAAATAATATAAGCCCTGCATAGTCTGGTATCAGACAGCGCTGTGCTTTGCAGTAAAATATTTATATATTTTTTTATTCAATTTTGGCCTGTCTGGTACTGAGTGAAAACTGCGTATATGCAACATTTTGTTTGTTGACGATTTTGTGCAAAATCAATACGCTAGAGCGTATTCTCATTTATTAAATGATGTCTTAATACAGGCATTATTTAATCAATTAAAACATATAATATATTTATCAATATTGATGTTATATTTTTATTGGAAGTTTAAAAAAAAAAATAGGACTTAAAATATTCGAGAATTAAATCCGGACATTTGATTGTGAATGGTTAACTAGGATTTGTGTTTTAGATTTTATAATGAACGCAGCGCGAGAATGTACATACAAATTGTATTGTGGTTTATTTCAGTTCGTGAACAATGCTCTTAATTTGATAGTCTCGACTTCGGAAAAAGGAATTTGCATCTAGATTGGATTTGCGCAACATCTCATACAAATAGTAGGTATGGCTACTTCACGTCGACAACTCTCGGAATCGGATTGCGGCCGATCCTATCCGAGTGGAGACCAACGTAGCGGTGATACTGAAAGCGCTTATAAAGCCACTTACTTTATATAGGTTTAGTAGATAAAGATATTTACAATATACCATAATAATCGGAAAGACACGGCTACAAGAGCAACAAAACGCCACGCACATTGCGTGAGACGTAGCATTGTAGGGGTGCATATTACTTTTACATAAATTTTAACGTAAAGAAATATTTATAATATTACTTAGCATTTCTTAACATAAAGGAATATATTATTTTTAATAAATACAAAAAAATCTAAGTTATAAACATTAAGTAATGTTATGTAATATTATGTTGTCTGTGGTAATGTTATAAACATTACTTTAGAAATTCGTTTATTTTCATGAATACTGTCACTAGAATTTGACATCTGTTTATAATTGGCTAAAATAGTATATAGTTAGAAGAAGGAAAAAACCTATTGCCAAGGACGGTACCGAACTAAATGAGAGGGCTTCAAATCGCACGAGTTAGGAATAGTAATTTATACCGAGTGTAACACTTGGGATTACGATAGTCACACGTCTATGAGAAAATCTCGAGACAATCGTTTATATTTTGATTCATAGGTCAAGTACACAGTATTTTTTATTATAAGAAGATATATTTTTATGTACTGCTTAGTATACACATTGATTTTTTATTTTGGCGCGCAATTACTACGTCGATCTAATAAGATTGTAATGAATACCTCTAAGATTATAATAATATCTGTATTCAGTTGGTGTTTTCTTTATGGTGATGTAAATAGAAAAAAATATTATCTTAATAATAGATTTTCTACAAACCCTGTCACTTACTTTAAACTTAATGTAAAGATATATTAATATATTTAACTTTAACTTGTTTTAGATTGAAATGTATAGGTAGGTACTTTCTAGGCAGTAGTGGTATAAACACATTGAATGTTATAATATGGCCTCGGTGGTCCAGCGATTTAGTACACCTACATTACTACCAATGGTCGCGGATTTGATTCCTCGCACGGTGCAAATATTTGTTTCATAAGTATGATTGTTCGTATAGGTCTGGGTGTTCTCTATGTATATTATGTATGCTTTTACAAAAAAAATCAAAGTTTTTATATCAGTTGTCTAGTACCCATAACAAAGGTCTAGTGGAACGGGTGGGATGGCGCTGTGTTAATTGTCCAGTGTAAATTTATTATTTAATATTGTCCTCAGAACCACGCCCCAACGAGTATGCGGAGCTGGGCTGTATACCGGTGTCGGAGCGGTCCGCAGCCGATACTGAGGCAGCACACGATCTGCTGTCTCTAGCCCAGAGTCTACCACCATTGCCCCCAGCCACCGTCGTCACCGTCCTCCATGCTCCTGACCCCACACCACTTCTTCCCGTCTATACTTACACTATACAACCCACAAATATTTACATCCTTGCCGACGAACCCATTGAACCTATCTATCATACGGTACAAACCATTACACCAGTCCAAACTATTACACCGGTACAAACTATCACACCGGTTCAAACTATTACACCGGTACAAACAGTTGAATATGCTGTCGATCCGCAAGTCAATTATGTAACGTACCAAGCTCCTCCTGATCCCCAATCTTATCCAGTGAGGGAAGTAGTGCCTGAACCCATTATCCAACCTATACCCGAAGAACCACCGGATCCAACCCCACCGCTCAAGGAGAAACCAGCTAAGTATGATTGCAATGAATGCGGCAAACGATACGCTACGTCTTCGAACCTATCACGACACAAGCAAACACATCGCAGTCTCGATTCGATAGCGGCAAAACGATGCCCTGAATGTGGTAAGGCATACGTATCGATGCCCGCGCTGGCTATGCATGTTCTGACTCATCGCATGGGACACGTTTGTGGGGTTTGTGGCAAACAATTTTCTCGACCGTGGCTGCTCAGGGGCCACCTTCGCTCGCACACAGGTGAAAAGCCGTACAATTGTGCTGCCTGTGGCAAGGCATTCGCTGACCGCTCCAACTTGCGAGCTCACCTCCAGACGCACTCCTCCGATAAGAAATATGAGTGCACCCGTTGCCGCAAGTCGTTTGCGCTTAAAAGTTACCTGAACAAGCATCTAGAGTCCGCGTGCGTACGGTCCGACGACGAGTGATTCCACTCGCGTCAAATAATGATTGCAACGAACGATTTCTCTATAAACTTCTTTACACCTTTACAAGAAATATTTTATAGCGTAGATGCTCGTAGTTTCGAGGACGTCGAAGGAATAATAAGCAATAATAATGTACCTAATATCGTTATGGCTCTTTCCATAATTTAAAAAAAGTAAATGTTAATGTGTAATATATTGTATTTTTTCAATTATTAGTCCGGCATCGACGGAAGTAATCGTGTCAATTTATGGCAAGAGCCTGCAATGTTAAAACGTAGGGTAATGTTTACATAGTAAAGTATAGGTAAGTTTAGTGTCGCACGTACGGTGTGAGACGACTATAGATAGTAGTTACGGTGATACGTAGAGACTTAATGAAACCGTCGAGCTGTGGTACAAAGAGAGCAATAAAGTAACGAGCGTAGAGTGACAGTGATAGGCGCACGAGTAGCGTGCATGCGTAGCGATTAGCTTAGCGAGTAGCGTCTCGGGAGGACCAAACTGTTGCTCGGGCGCTGCCGCCGCTTCGGCCGCCCGCCTCGCGCCTCGGCCACGCGTTTAGGGTTACTAGAACACATGATTTTTTGTGACTTGTACGGAATTTTGGTCCTCTGCCTGGAAAATTGAGTAAAAAAGTGTCAGGATCTTTTGAAAGTGACGGTGTAGATGTAATAAATACAATGCCTAATTTATCAGAATCAGGTTTGCACTGTTTATTATCTATTGTATTGGTAACACATATAATTATGTAACAAGAATATGTAATTGGTTTTTTTTTGTTTGATCTGATGACCCTAAGCTGCTTACAGCGCGCACGATACAGTGTGCGCCGTGGCGAGGTGGTAATCACGCAATTTCACTTTTTGGGTTATGCTGCCATCTTGTTGGACAAACTGACAGACGATTAAATAATATCCACTCTGTGAGATAGACTTCAGTCGATTAGTATATATATATAAAGTAAGCGACCAAGTTCACCAGTTTCGTTTAAAACCTACCGTATTATATACATATATTAGGTATGTACAAGATCGTCTCACATCTTGACTTGTAATTGTCAAACCGAAAGTTAAAATAATTGATTTGACTATTATATATTTGCCAATTTATGAACAGCGATATCTAGGCAATGGCAGTTGTATTTCGAAGCCGTATGGGAATGGTAAACATTGCTTTATAAAAAAGGTACATCGACACTTTCTAAAATTCTTCATATTAAATTAAAACTCTGTTGTCTAGCTTTTAGGGAATACGTACTAATATTCTAAGCGAGTTTAAAATACCAAATTATATATACCAAAAATTTTTACCATTATTTAATTAAATAATGGAATTAGTTATTAAGAATAAATTTAATTTCTACTATAAATAAATCGTGATCTTTCCACTTTACTAATATTTAGTACCTACTTTTGTTAAAGATATATTTTTATTTGATACGTGCATTTAAAATATCCAAAATATATTGAAGATTAATTTATGAAATATCAAAGTCGCCAAAGTAAATGTAAACATATTCTACTGTTGTTGTTAGGAATAGCCTACGTATAAGATTCTCCGTATATTGTTTTTAAATATACGTCTATCAAGATAAATTAGGATAAGCTTTTGTTTAACAGTTACTTCTTATTAAAAATAAATACTCTATTTCTTTTTTATTTCACTTACTTTGTAGGGATGTCGCCGTTAATAATCTGTTATGTGGAGCAACACTAGTTTGGATATTAACAGAATGCAAAATGATTAGGTACTAATGTACGTTGATAAGAGAAGTATTTTTTTATAGAGAGTTACATATTTATGTGAATATTGGATATTTCGCGGCGATTTTCCGTTATTGTATAGCTATATCAGTATAGTGTTTAAATTGTAAGTCTATCGATAAATTTCTAATAGAGCGTTACTATCTAGTCACTTTATCAGTACTGTGTTGTTAAAAATAACACTGAACGGCGATACGTGTGGAATAAAGTGTCATATTAATCATTATTAATAGATTTATATTACTGTGTAACATAACTTTAGTTTAGGAATACTTTACTATTCGATCTCATAACAATGTTAGTTTACATAGGTTTTGTTTGTTCATTATATGTCTTTATTGTGTGTGTCCTTTAAAATATGTGTATTTACTTGTTTTTAGTTTGTATATTATTTAATCATACTCATTAGAAATATTACTTTAAGATCATTAATTATTGAAGGTCAATTTTTGTGTAATTAAATATTTTTCGCCATCATAATAATTAATTGAATACAATAAAATAATACATAAAAGTACGATGAGTCAACGAAAACTCTTTTATGAGAAATTTATTCACGTTATGCAGTTTAATGTAATATTACAATATTTCAGATCAATTATGTCTAATTATATATTAATTGTAAGAAGAAATAAATAAGGATATATGCGTTACGTTGCTCAATAAGCATAGGTTAGTGACTGAGATTGTGTTTAGGCCTAACTAGTACAGCCGTCACAGATATCACTATCTTTTATCATTTGCACATATAAAATTTCTTGTCCAAAATCTTAAAAAAATAGGTTGTAACAATAAAAAAAGCAGAACCGATATTTGGCAAGCGATTGGACAAGGTAGTGAACTAATTTTCAATAATAATGAACGTATGCATATATCGTATTATGTTTTAGTGTTATATTATATATTATGAAAATATATTTGCGAACTATGAACCCACCTTATACACTTAATGTCAATTTTAATAATTTTGTCAATTTCCAATTAGAGTATTTCTGTATATATATAAATAATATATATACTAAGTGGCACGCTCGTTCTTTAAGAAATAATCTAAATGTCTACAAATTTATTTCTAAAATATATCTTTAGAATTACTAATATACCTTCAAAATGTTAGGAATCATCGTAACAGGTATGTATATGTCTATTGTTAATACATTATGATCATATATAGAATCATTGTGTATTTAAAAGTCATATCTACAGAGTAGAAACGATAAAAGTTGTTTTTTTATATGATCCTATGTAATAATGACATGTCTTTGTTTAGTCAATTCAACTAGTATTCAGAATAAAACTGACAGAAAGTGCGTGCGGTTTTAATGTTAAGTCTTCCAAGAATTTAATTGCGAAATATAATTGTAAACTATTATCTTATTAAAACTGTGCAACAACTGACGAATACTCTCAAAAATGAGAATGCTTTTAAATTTACGTCAATCCTCTGGAACAATTAGTTAAGTATCGACCTACTAATTTCGTTCTCATTTCACTTTACTCTCTTAACCAGATAGATAGATCAAGACATGTATTCATAAGAAAATAATTAAGAAATAATTATGTATTCTCCACCCATTAGTAAACACACATTTACATATTAAACTTATTCTTTCTATTAGGTATGGTTTTAAGTCGGTTACTCAATGACAGAGACAAAAGTCGTTAAAACAATTTCACGTTACAGCATTGTACTAAAAGGAACTTAATAGATACCTATCAGGCCTTTTTTAAAAGTTAGCGTACTCGAGACAAGTTCTTGAAAGCTTCGGAAATTTATTTAAGAAGAAGCACTTAGTTTAAAACATATATTTCAGATTCATTGTTGTATTTGTAGTATTTTGAAGAAGTGAGTATAGTTGTTCTAATTATTTAAAACACGTTTAATAGGTAAATTACAGCGATAATTTAAAAAACTTAGGATTACAATGTACCCAGAGACACTTTGTTATATTATATTTGGTAAAAGATCTACTAATCATTGTGTACTGACTTTATTATATCTATTTATGGCTAAAATACAGCCATACGCTTATAATTTAACAGCATAACTGTTCTAAACTATTTATAAAAGATACCATTTCTTCACACAGTTTTACCTTTTCATCTTTAATAATAATCTTGCAGTGTTTTCGCTCGGACAGTCAAGGGCTATGACAGAACATTCTGTTATACAATAAAATGAAATAACGCAAAACCTCCAAGTCAGTTTTATATTTCAATATTTGAAAGTCGTTGAACAAAAGTTCTTTTATAAGAAAATATCGAAAAATTCTATACGACGTGATTCAATCCGAGTAAAGTGTTCACCGATTTGGGTGGCATAGTTGTTATTCTTTCAATTGTTTCTATATATTTTATATTTTAGTATACTAAGTAATTATAATATACCTGTTGTATATTAAACTGATGTAGTTTGTATAATATATATCTTCTGATCAGTAATTTGATTACTTTTGTCTTTTTGCCATAATAACAATTAAAAACTCATTTTGTTTTGTAGGTAAGTTACAATAATGTAAATAAATAGATTTTAACTAATTTTAAATGAAAAACACTGTTTAGAGTGTTTGCTCTTATTTTAATTTTAATGTTAAATAGGAAAACTATATATCTAACGTAATATGTAACGGATTGTAGAAGTTTACTTCAGTGGAAACCTGATAAATATTCTAAATAATTAGTTTGTTAGCTCAAGTAATATTGGAATTTTCTAATAACGATACCGATAGTTGACCGTACGAGTTAGGATTAGAAATCTACTCCATACTCTATATCTTCTAAATAGTACATAGTAAACTATAATTTTGATATTCTATTGGAATATACTATATATTAATAAGCAAATCTTTATACCCATTTTAACAAAAATCCGCAGAGAGAGAAATGTACAATTTCACAAGTTATAATTTATTTGAAAAAAGAGTGCAGTATTTATATTTTTAATAATGCATAAAAGTTTCGTTACACAACATGTATATATATCTAGACAAACAGAACTAATATAAGGTTCCAACATATCATTTGAATGAATTAAGATCGATCACTAAATTATTGTTAGGTATACAATTACTTTTAATATTTTTTAGTAGGTTCTGGTTTATTAAGGGGTTAGTTTAATTACGTCACCATATGTTAGTTCATAAGTGTGAAAAGTATTTCCGAACACCATTGCTGATATTTAACCAATAAGATTAACTATAACTATTTTTAGTATATTTTACCGATATTAAACTTTGT